CCCCCCCCCGCGTACCTGCGCAGCCGGGGCCCGCCCTGACCTGCTCCTCTCTCTCCCCAGTTCGTAGAAAGCGACGATGATGAGGAGCTTCTGTTTAATATCCCGTAAGTTCGTTCCCTGAGCTCCTCCTTTGGCATCGTTTTGGCTGCTGGCAGGGCTTGTTCCTCGCCTCTGTGTGCCTGGGAATGAGGCGTCTTAACCGGGGCAGATTTGCAGGGAACAGAGATGAAACCGCCGCTTTCGTATCTCTCGGCAGGTTTACGGGCAACGTGAAATTAAAAGGAGTAATTGTGATGGGGGAAGATGACGGTACGCACCCAGCAGAGATGAGACTGTAAGTAAAACGAGCATGAACTTTGCTGGAGCCTAAAGGGCAGTGATTGACTCGTAGCTAACAAGGACGGCGTTTCTCACACCGTCGGGTGCCCCAGCACCCAGCGAGGGTGCGCAGGACGAGAGAAAGCAGCGCTGCTCTGCAGCAGCTCAGTCATTCCGGGGCCCTGGGGAGGGAAAAAAACCTCCCGTGACTTGTACAGGGACGAGCGTGGCTACTTGCTGCCTTTTCTCTAGAGAAAATGGGGTGCTGGTGTTAATAAGAACGTTTGGTTGAGACGCTGGCCGTGTTGTGAAGCAACCACCCTGCTGTTGGCTCAGCGGGCTGCAGAGGATCAAGGGACCAAGAGGGGCTACGCTTTGCAGGGGAATTCGGAGGCCTGGGAGGGAGGGACACCAATGACAGAGTGTCCTGCAGCCAGGTGAGGTTCGTAAGGCTCTTGGCAGTGGTCCTGCCGTACATGGCCTGCTTTAGCTCCTGAGGGGAGAGAGATCCTTCTTAATACTGCTTTCTATTTTTTTTTTTTTTAATGAAAAAGTATCAAGTACTCTGCAGTTCTTGCTTGTGGGGAAAGAAATACACCTTTATTGAGCCCCTGTTTTCCTTGGTCTCCAGTGTATGGGGGTCTGGGTTTCTTCATGTGCCCAAGCGTGCTGAGATCTGCATCTCCCCAGCTCTGTTCCTCGCTCCTCCTTGTTATTTCTTCTGGAACGTGATGATGTTTCGTGGTGGCGCTGGTATTTTCTCCCTTAGAAGACAAAGTAAATCCAGCTTCTTGCTGCTGAGAAGAACCCCGGGTAGTGCTAATGGATGGGAAGGAAACCAATTAGCTGATCTGTGTGTGAATAACTTCCTGGGTTTCCTCCTTCTCTTCCCAGGTTCAAGAACATTCCTCACATGTCCTTTGATGACACAGCCAGGGAACCGGACCAGACTTTCAGCCTGAACCGGGATCCGGCGGGCGAGCTGGAGTACCCCACCAAGTACGATGCCTGGGGGGGGTGGGGGGCTGCTCCTCCCCAGCGCGGGAGCTGTGCTCTGTCCAGCCTGCAGACATGCTGCCGAGTTTTAGGAAAGCATTAGCAGAGGGTAGGTCCTTCCCTTGCATCCCAGGGCTGCCCCCAGTAGAATTTGCCTCCATGGCTCTGTCCTGCCCTTGTCAGGCAAGAGCTCTGGTCTGAAAACCCCCTCCCCAGAGCCAGGGGGGTGCCTCTCCCGTGGACAAGGACTTCTCAGGGTGCAGAATCATCCCAGTGTCGTGTCCTCAGCTCACCGCAAGCGTTAGGGAAGCTGCTCTTCCTGCACCCTCAGTCATTTGCTCCCGAGTCTGCCTCAGATTAGGGTAGGAGCTACACGCAATGAGGGGCATGTCCATGCTGAGAGGAGGTGGCAGTGCAGCAGAGTGGCAGCCTGTATGCACCATGCCAGTTTCAGAATGTATTTTCTTTCAGAATTGCCCGTTTCTCCAATGTTTGCCACCTCTCCATGCACTTCCCGAAGAACTTTGGAGCTGAGACAACGAAGATTTTTTATATAGGCCTGAAAGGAGAGTGGACGGAGGTAGGTGAGAGCAGAGATGAATGAGACTGTGCTAATAGTGTGAAAAGGGCTTTAAATCATAGCTTAAGTTGAGCCCTGGCAGTGAGGAAGCACTGGGAGTGGTGTCGGGGGGGTCTGCGATGAAAAGTCTGTAAGATGGGAACCTGCTCAGCTCTTGCCGGGCAGGTGACTTGAATTCTGCCCTCCTCTGGACTAATGTGTTTAATCTTAATTCAGGCTCATCGCCACGAAGTCACCATCTGCAATTACGAAGCGTCAGCAAACCCAGCTGATCACAAGTTGGAACAAATCACCCCACAGACTCACTTCATCTCCTAACAGCGCTGTCGGGGAATCTCCCGAAGGCTGTGGTACAAGTGTACGGACGTGATGGGCTGACTCGGACAGAAATGGCTTCCTGAAGTGCCAGAGAGCGTTGGATCAGCTTTACGTTTTGGTCTTTGCCTTGGAAAGCAGAGTGCCCTGTGTGTGCAGTGCCTGTGCGGAGGCGGCCGCTGAGGGGAGCGGCGTGTCGGGTCCTGCGGAAGGCGGCAGATCTGCTCTGTAACGGGAGAGTCGGTCTTTAGGCAGTGACAGGCTCGGGTCCGGTATCGTTTCCTTCTCTCCCTGCCAATAAAACACACGCTGA